AATCATCCCATCCACCTGCTTGGGATCGATCCGGGGCGTCCCAAGGAGCCCCCCGCGCCTCGTGAGCTGCATGACTACCGAGTAGTCCAATCCGCGCGTTGACTTGATGGGGTCATGGGAGTTAGGGCAATCGCAAGCCTTCCGCGAGCAGCCCATGTGCGTGGTGGCCCCCCATAGGGACGTTGTCTTTATTGCGGGGCGCATGCGCCACGGATCGCGTCCGCTCCGGGCGTGTTAGTTCCTTGCCCGCTGGGTACGCCCTCTTGGGGGCTGTCCCCGCTGGGGCCCCGGTGCCCGCCTTGGGCCCCGCCTTCGGCTGGGGCCCAGCCCCCGCCTTGGGCCTGTCATCCCCCTGCGCCGTGGGCCGGGGATCGCCCATTTCCTCACTCCCTCCCGCTTTGGGCGGTCGCTTCGTGAGGTGGGCGTTCAGCTGCCCATTGAGGAGGCGCGTGAGTGCGGCCTTGCGCCGGGGCACGACCACCTGCTGGTAGTAGGCGTTCGGGTCCCCGAGGTCGAACGTTCGGGGCAAATCGTAGCCGTTCTCCGGCATGAGTAGGATATACTTGATGTCCTCCCTCCTCGGGTTCTCGGTGTCGAGCTCTCGACAGAGTCGGCGCCTCAGCTCCCGCAATTCCTCGACCCAGGTGCTTCGGAGCTCTTCCCACAGATCCTTGACCCAATGGTCTGGGAACTCCGATGGGTCCCTCTCGAAGGCCGCCTCCAAGAACCCCAACGACCGCCGACGCTCCGCCCCGTGTGCGACCCCTATGATGGACTCGAACATCTGGATCTCGCACCGGGCCCTCTTGAACCAGGTCGCCATGTGGGTGGCGGGCCGTTGGCGGGGCTCCAGCTTGTCGTCCACAGGAAGCCGATAGCCATCGAAGTCCTCGTCACGCGCGGGGACGCAGTCGTCCACCGCCAGGTCGTGAGGGCCCGTCCCGAAGGCGAGCGCCGCGTAGCCGTGTGCCACACGGTTGGTAACCAGGCAGGGAAACCCGATCGTCTTGAGCGTGCTCTTGGAGTGCGCACACATGCGCTTGAGTGAGTCGAACAAGTCCTTCCCCGTGATACCCTCGCAGGCCTCAACCACGAAGGTGTTGCATCCCCGGGCTATGTAAAGATCGAGTTCCTCGTCCCGTCCGATCCCTGCCCTGGTGCCCCGGGCCTTCTTGTCGCCCTCGGTGGCCCGCGCCTGCCGCTCGGCGGCGAGGACGTGGCGTTCAGTGAGGCGGTTCTGGCGATCCAGGCGCTCGATAATCTGGGCTTCGGCCTCGACTGTAAGCCCGCCCAGGGCGCCCGCCGCCCCGGCGTCGTCTGGACCCCCAGCTCGCTCCCCACCCAGGCCGCCCCCGTGGGGCGTCTGGCCAGTGAGGTGGCCAAGGACCGAGGCCCCGTCGAGGAGCGGATTGGCCCCACGGGCGGCCCCCCCGCGTCCATCGCGTGCCAGCAGGTCCCGATCACCCAGCAAGCCCCGTCGTGGGCCCGTGGGTTGGATGGGGGGCATGGCACCGAAGAGCTCGCGTCGGGGTCCCTGCTTCGGGCTGGGATCCCGTCCCCGCGCCGAGCGACTCCGCGACCCCTCACGTGAGAGGCTCCCCTGCAGGGGAACCTTGTCGGCGGCCGCAGCACGCTCCCGCGCGCGCGCTTCCAGCTGCGCATCCTCCAAATCCGCGAGGGCGCGCTCTAGGTCGGACCCCAGTGGGCCCGCCGCTGCCACCTGTGCGACCCTCCGCCGCAGCTGCCGCTCCGCCTGATCAAGCGGAACCCCGAGCAGGTCCGCGGCCATACCTAATGCACTGAGAGCCGCCGCTTGGCCCCCCCGTCCTTTGAGATCCTCGGCTCGCAAGGAGTCCATGAACATTTCGAGCGGGTCGGGCTCCTCGGCGTCCTCGCTCACGCCGGCGGCGGCCGCCGCTAAGCGCGACAGTGCCGCCACGGGGGCGGGACGGGGCAAGCCCTCCATCCCGGGCGCAGGCGGCGCCCCCTGCGCGCCGCCCCGTCGATGGTGGCCGAGTGTGCGCACAGGGTCGTGCTGCAGCTGCTGGCGCTCCGTGTTCGTCAGGTAGCGCCGCCTCCAGCCGCTCGCGCTTTCCACGCCCACACCGCCCCACTGCTCCTGGCGTAACATCGCCAGCAGATCCTGCGGGATGTGGTGGGCGATGACACGCAACCCCACTTCCCGAGCCCCTTGGGGGACCTCGTACAGCAGCCGATTGATCCAATCTATCGGGTAGCGCCCGTCCTCCAGCGGAGGGGGGTGCCGTACGACCTCGCTGGCTGGGACCTCCACCCTGACGCCCTCGAGGCTAGTCCCGATGATAAGTCTGGCGTCCCCGCCAGTGCCCCGTACGTCGAGCCCCTCGCATTCCCCCAATAGAATAAACCAAGGACTCGCCGGGGGCGCGCCGTACGCCTCCTCGGCTCCCCGAGGGTCGCCCGGGAGTATCGGGCAGACCTTCACGAGTAGGGGCTCCTGAAGCCACCCGTGGTGGGCGATCCGATCGCCCGGGGCCCCGCGGTCGGCAGACCGTGAGCGTCCGCTGGCCCTAGCTTCCGCGGAGCGTGTGCGACGCGGCTGCGGCCCCGAGGTTAGGGCCTGCGCCCCCGTGGGCTCCACATCGACAGATGGGGCCACGGCGGGCGGTGGCGGTGCAGCGGGGGGAGGTAGAGGCGGGGGGTAGACCGGCTCGGGCGCAATGCCAACCCCATCAGCAGCGTGCGCGGTCCAATCGCGCACCCTGGCGGGGCTTGGAGCCCGCGCCCGCATGCGGCGGCGCAGGCCCCCGAGGATCCCAGGTTGGACCGTCGCCTCGACGCGCACGGTGTGACCCTCGTCCCGTCGGAGATGTTCCCCGCACATCGGGGCCCCCCCGCAGCTACCCTTCGCCATGCGGAGACAAGTGGGGAGGCTGCACTTGCGGCCGATCAGGGTAGACCGATACTTCTGCGCATGGTGGGCGCAGAGGTGCACCTGTGCATTGAGACAATGCCCAGGCCGAGGAACGTCCGACACCTCCGCGTCCTCCTGTAGCAGGACAGTGGCCTCCTGCATCCCTCGGTCGCCGCACCCCTCCGGCTGGAGGGGGCGTGCGCCACCCGCGAGCTGCACCCCAACTTGTGCGGCTTGGCAGGGGCGCTCCTCCGCCTCCACCTCGCTCTCCGAGTCGATGTCCAGGCGGCGATAGCCCGTGGCGTCGGTGATGTAGCGGGGCTCCGGCCGGCCCCGGCACAGCCATCCGAGTACCGACCAGGGTGAGCAAAGCAGCCACTTGACGACCCCGAATACCTTCCGGAGTCCCACGCCGACTGCTCGGCAGGCCGTGGCCCTTCCGTGCTCAGCCAAGTCCACGATCTGTGTGTGGTCAATGGCCGCGTACTGGTCGACGTGCATGGGATGCGCCACTGGACAGGAGGCGCACTCGACAGCACGACATAGATGCACATTCCCTGTCTCCTCGAGGTTCAGCCGCCACTTGCGACTGGTGCACCCCAGGACCTGCCCGATCTTGATGTTGAGCCCGTGGCGGTCCAATCGGTACCGGTCCGCGAAGTTGCAGCTGATGCGGGCCACCTGCCCGTGCTCACGCAGCAGCACGTGGTTGTACGCCCGATTGGTCCCTCGGCCGCGGACCCCCTTTGTGTAGAACTCTGTCTCCACCACGCCGCCCAAGCCCGGCCCGCGCCAGCGCACCAGCAAGGTGGTCGGCGGGGGTGGGGGAAGATGGGCGCCAGGCCCATCCCCTCCGCGTCGCTGGCAGCACCGGGTAATCTGGTACCACGCCCAGCGGAGTCCCCCGGCAGCCCACAGCATAGGCTGGGCTGCGGTGTTGACGATGAAGGCCAGGGCACCCAACACGAACGTGAAGATGCCTAGGGCAAAGCATAAGACCGCGGTCTCCCACCAATACCCAAGCATCTTAACGCCCAGGCGGTCGACGGCGGATCCAAACCATCCGCCACTCGTGCGGATCGTGCCCGGGTGGTCGGGGGAGCTTACCCACGCTCCATAGCCCACGACCTCGAAGACCCAGGCTGCGAAGCCCCAACCGGGACCCGGCCCTGCCTCCGGGGGCGGTGTAGGTGGCGGCGGCGGCGGTGGGGGTTCGCTCCGGCCAGCCCACCAATGGGGCAGGTGCGGGACCCAACCACTCCACCCCCAATACCCGTCCGGCCCACGCGGCAGGTCAGGCTCACCATCGCCCGTCCGGTTTCCCGGGGCGGACGGCTGCCCAGGCGCGCCCGTGGGCTCGTTGTTACCTCCGTATGCCGGCGTAGCTGGGCTGCCTGTGGGCTCGCCCTCGCCTACGCGCCCGATGCCCGCGGTCGTGGTCGTGGTAGTCGACCCCGACCGCGGCGGCGGTGGGACGCCCGGCGTCCCCGGGGGCTTGGCCTGCGGCCCTCGCCCCTTTCCCCCTGCAGGCGCGGGCTTGGCGGGCGGTCCTCGCCCCTTGCCTCGCCCCCCACCGCCTGCCGGCGGCGCTGTCGGCCCGGGCAGGGCTGGCGGCGTCGGCGCTGGGACCTCATGTCCCCCGCGCCCGAATGGCAGCCAGCCAAGTGCCCCTTGGACCGTAAGAGCGCCGCCCGTAACCAAGATCATCAGGTGCGCCCCCAGGAAGCCCACAGCCATGGCACCACAGGCGCGCTACCTAGTCCGCGGACTAGCACGGCTGTGGTTATGGCCGCCCCGCGGCCCCCTGGAACACCCGCGCGTCGGCCAGAGCCGAACGCTACGGACCCAAAATGGCTACCTGAGCCCACACCCCCTCCCACTTAACCTGCAGTCTACAACCAATCAGACTATACAAAACGAAAAGGCCTTCTCAGACGGCGGCGGGGCTTCTCAGAAGCCGTCGCGCCTTCTGAAAGGTTTTCTGCGGCTCCGGGGAAGCCTTGGACAACTTCCCAAAAAGGCCCGGGGGGGGGGGGTCCGAGCCTTCTGGGCTGGCCCGCCCCTCCTCGCTTCCTCGCGCGCCGTCGGCCGAAGCCACGGCCGGCGCCTTCAGGACGTCGCGGACGAACCTCGTGGCGCGGCGCAGGCCCCGGAACTTGTGCCTGCTGGCCAACGGGCGGTGGGCGGACGGCGTGCCGCCGCCCGGCCCGGGCGTCCTCGCCCGGCGCCCTCGCCGTCGTCCATGCAGTCGTCGTCATCGCCGTCGTCGCCGCCGTCGTCGCCGTCGCCGCCGTTCATGTCGTCCATGCTGTCGTCGCCGTTGTCGTGATCGTCGTCATCGTCGTCGTCGTCGTCGTCGCCGCTGTCGTCGCCATCTCCGTCGTTCATGTCGTCCACGCCGTAGTCGTAGTCGCCGTCGTCATCGTCGTCGTCGCCCATGCCGTCCATGTCGTCGTCGTCGTCGTCGTGCTCCTCCTGCTAAGATTTCTCCTCGGCTTCGACGATTGTTCAGGAGGGCAAGTGGAGCGGACAGCTTGAAAGAAACATTCGCGCTAGTGAACAGCACGGCTGCTCCTGGCTAGGTAGCAACCCTGAGCCTCCATCGTTCGCACCGTCCACGCAGAAGATGTGGACGGTGTTTCGCATTTGTCTCTTTTTCTTCGCCGAGAACACGGTTCGGAATGAGCGCTGGCCGTGGCATGCATGTCGAAACCGGAAATCAATGCTCGCCGTGGGCTGCTAGCTCAGTTTGTTGCAAAGGCGGTCGCCTCGGTGGGCGAGCAGTTCGAGCGCCCAGATGGTTCTGGCTCGGCACCCCTTCGGTCGGAAGCTCCCATCTGCCACGGGGCGTGCCTGGAGCACGGGCTGGCAGCGCCTCCAGGAGAGGGGGCCGAGCTCGAGCCATCCTTCGGGTGCGAAACACACTGTGTCCCCAAAGCGCGGCAAGCCTAGGGTGCCGCCGCGCGGTCACCCGAAGGCGCGCTTCGAAGACCTCCGACGGGGAAGCACAGCGCATGAGGCGGCGGGCATTCAGCGCCGCAAGAAATGCATCAATGCAAGCAACTCGCTTTAAAGAGGCCATTGGAGAGTCTGGGAAAAGCAAAAGACACGGGAATCTCAATGGGTCACTGCGGGCACAATTTTTGCCCTGGCGCCATATGCTCAGAAGAGCTTCGAGGTGAGGGCATGTGGAAGAATGATGAATCGAATCGGAATCAATAGACTCCTCAGAAACGCAACCAGATAATCATCCCATAGGCTCGGAGTGAAAACGGGAGGAGGTACATATGGAGCCTGTGATCAGCCTCAGCGGAGCAACGCCGATGTACATCGATGTCGCATCACAGACGGCCTTGATCGACTGGCGCATGCACTCAATCCCACGGGCAATATCGGTAGAGACAAGCGTCCGAGCTCGACGCAGGAGGGTGGCACGAACAGGCTCTGGCTGTTGCATGGCGCGGAATTCGATGCAGAGTTTCTGGTGCAGCCGCGACGTGCCACAAGTCAAACGCACAGGGAGCCCTAGATACCACTGCCTCATCCTGCGCGCGTACCCCAGGAAGGATGTCTCATTCCAGCCCTTGTGCCACCTAGAGGGATTATTCTCTACGTTGTCGCTCGCCTCCTCCAACTCCTCCAAAACCCCATAGACAAACTGAGACCCTGAAAAATGGCGAATATGAGTGGCTTGTGAAAGCCGCGCGGAATCCCATGTCCTTCATTCTAGTGGCAAAGTTGTAAGAGATAGCGCTCCGAGGGCCAGAAATCAAACGCATGACACTTTCACGGTGTTGGTGTATCAAAAGGCGGCCAGGCGAATAAAGCTGGAGACGGAATACAAGCTTCGACAAGCACATGACTCGGGAAGCCAGCGCACTCTGAGCAATCCCTAGTCCGAGTTGGCGAGTTTGGTGAACGCGCGCCAACAATCCAGGCAAGATCGGCTGCCAGACGTTCTCGGTCGCACCTGGGCCGATAGGAAACCCGAAACAAACAGGCTCCCATAACTCGCCAACACGGCCGAAAGACGGGCACAGCCGAGACCTCCGCACATTATCAACTGGCACTTCGAAACGTTCAGCCGAAAGCTAGCAATGGGCAAGAGCTGCGTCATCGCCAACAGGAACGGGCCGAGATCCGTGAAAACAGCCATCAAGCCAAAGAGAAAATCGTCCGCATACGCAAAATTGAAAGACACATGTTGCGAGCATCGATGGCGTATCCAACGCAGGAGGGGGTCAACCTCCAATACGGAAAAAAACATCGACGCAAAACAACCTTGTTTAACCCCAACATCGACCGAAATAATATGGAACCTTCCCCCATCTGCTTTGCCACGATTCGTCTGCGTCGTGTGGTTCGCGGAAGTATGTGCATATGTGTGTCTGTCTGTCGGTCGGTCTGTGTGTCTCGATGCCAGTCTCTCTGTGTGTCCGTATGTCTGTGTATGTATATGTGTATGGTTGTGGATGCATGCGTGTATGTATGCATGTATATATGTATATGTATATGTGTATGTTTATGTATATGTATAATGTATATGTAATTGTATATATACATGTACAGGTACACGCATATATGTATATGTATACGTATATGTATATGTATGTGTTTATGTACATGTATATGTATATGTATATGCATATGTATATGTGCATGTAAATGTATATGTACATGTACGTATGTGCACGCCTGTATGCGTGTTTATGTGTATGTTTGTCTGTATGTATGTATGTATATACGTATGTAAAATTGCGTGTATATATGTATGTACGTGTATGATGTATGTACGCATTCACGCATAAACGCATGCGTGCGTGCATGCATGTATGTGTATGTATGCATGCATGTGTGTATGAATGCATGTGTGTATGCCTGCCTGTCTGTTTGTCGGCTTGTCTGTCTGGATGTATGCATGTATGTATATATGTATGTGTGTACGTATGTATGTATGTCAGAGTGAGGGGGGCGAACGGTCATTCACTGTCCATGGGTGCGTGGCTGAAGTGGGATTTCGCGGTGCGGATTCTCTTTGTTGTTGTTTGTTGTTGTTTGTTGGTGTTTGTTGTCGTCGTCCCACCCGCAACCCGCCCCGCGACCCACCCGCGACCCACCCCGTGACCCACCCCGCGACCCGCCCGCGACCCGCCCGCGACCCACCCGCGACCCACCCCGCGACCCACCCCGCGACCCACCCCGCGACCCACCCGCGACCCACCCGCGACCCACCCGCGACCCCATCCGCCACCCACCCCACGACCCACCCCGCGACCCACCCGCGACCCACCCGCGACCCACCCCGCGACCCCCGACCCGCCCCCACCCGACCCGCGACCCCGCGACCCACCCGCGACCCGCCCGCGGCCCACACCGCGACCCACCCCGCGACCCACTCGCGACCCACCTTCGACCCAAACCACGCTCAAGGTACAAACCACCATTTTCGGCGTTCGCGGCGGTTTTTTTTGCATTCCTTCCAGGTGGAGAGCCCGCGACCCACCCCGCGACTAACCCGCGACCCAAACCACGTTCATGGTACAAACCACATGTTTCGGCGCCTGCGGCGGGCATCTTTTGCATTCGTTTCAGGTGGGGAACCCGCGGCCCACCCGCGACCACGATCAGGGTACATACCAATTGGTTCGGCGCCTGCGGCGGGCATCTTTTGCATTCGTCCCCGGTGGAGAACCCGCGGCCAACCCGCGACCCATTCCACGTTGAGTGTACAAACCCAATGTTTTGGCGCCTGCGGCGAGCTGCTTTTGCATTATTTCCAGGTGGAGGTGGAGAGCCCGCGACCCGCACGCGACCCAAACCACGTTCACTGAACAAACCAATGCCGCACAAGCGCGGCGGCGGATTTTTGCACGCCGTCTGCGCCCGCAACGACCTCTTCAAGCCCCGCGCATCCACACCAGCCCGTCCAGCAATTTTGCCCTGGCGAGTTGCCTTGATCAGAGAAGTCGGGGGGCATAAAATGGAAACAAGGATTGCGTTGCCGTTATCTTGGGAAAGGAGGGGGAGGCAGGAGGAGTAAACAAGGGACGAAGAGGACGCGACAGAAGAGAGGATGTAAGGAGAATGTGAGGAAAGAGGAGGAGGAGCAGCAGGAGGACGAGGAGGGGGAGGAGGGGGAGGAGGAGGACGAGGAGGGGCAGAACGGGGATGATGATGATGATGATGATGATGATGATGATGGTGATGATGATGATGATGATGATGGACAATGCGAGGACGATGATGGAGGCCGATGAGGGGGTGGACGACATTGGGAGGACGATGATGCAAGGACGAATGGAAAGAGGGAGGACGAGGAAAAAGGAAGACGAGGTGGAGGAGGAGGATGACGATGACGACGAGGACGAGGACGAGGAAGAGGAGGAGGAGGAAGAGGAGGACGAGGAGGAGGAGGAAGAGAGCGCCATCGACAGGGAAGGTGGGTGCCACGAGGTGCGCCGGCTCGACAACGTCCGCGTCGCCCGCGCCCGCCCCTCACTCTTATCCGCAACTGCGGGGTGTTATGTATATACGTTGTATGCATGTATGTATGTGTGTATGTGTACATGTATGTGTGTGTGACCGTATGCATGTATGCATGTATGTTCATGGTTATGTATATGTGGATGTGGATGTGTATGTGAATGTGCATGTATACGTGCGTGTGCTACGTACGTATGTATGTGTATAAGTATGGGTGTATGTGTGTTTGTATGGATTATGGATACGTGTATGCATGCATGCATGTATGCCTGTATGCCTGCATCTACGTACGCATAAATGTATCCATGGCGGTGCACACAGATTGACATATACACGCACATATATACATATATATATATAACACATATGTACGTATGGATGTGGGAGATCATTGTGTAGTAGCGGATCGCGAGCTATGTTGTTTCCGGGGGCGTGGCCACAACGGGAAGTGCCCCTGGCTCAAAGTGCCCACCACATGAATTCCCCAAAATGTCCGCAGACCCCCCCCCCCCCCCCCACGGCCTCCAAAGCACCACTTACGGGCCCAGAGGGCCCCTGGGGTTCAAAAGTGGAGCGAAAAGCTGGGCCGACGTTCGGGCTCAAGCCGCGGCAGGCCGCCGCCCCCGCGGGCCAACTGCGGGCTGGTCGCGGGCGGCCGCAGAGGGCCCATGGCCAGGGT